CTCCCCCCCCTCCCGCAGCGCACCTCTGAGCAGCAGACAAATACAGAATTAGTTATGATTAACACCACTCCTCCTTCAGCAGGCGCATGCCTGAGACCAGCAACATACTTCCACACGGAAGGGGGAGGTGGCGTGTCAGCGCGCACACAGATCCATAGCGGGCTGTCCTGTGGGGGAGCTTCTCTGAACCTTTCGATGAATAATTAGGACGCCAGCGCATCCGATAGGCGCGCTCACAGCACAGAAAGACGGAAGGGGGAGGAAGCTACGGGGCACTGCTGGAACACAAACACCCACAAATCGGGGGCGTAACCCGGGGGTGGAGCCCACAGCCAATCACAACATTCCTAATAATCATTCAGCATTTGTTGTTCAGTGCACATTTTTGTTTAACCTCCAATTATTATTCCAATTCTTTAAATTGCGGTTGGATAGGCGGGGGCCTGGGGAGGGGGAGGGGGTCGGGCCCCGGTGGGCGCTGGTTGGTTGGTTACCTTGGACTGCCCGGTGGTCTTGTCTTTAGCCAGGTAGATTCGAGAGATGGATCCGAAAGGTCTGAAGAGCTCCTGCAGGTCGGTCTCCCGCGTATCTTCAGACAAGTTGGTGACGCGGATCGTGGCGTTGTCATCGGCTGTGGGAAAGATTCAGAGGTGAGCATGGAGTCTGGCCACATGTATGTTGGGTCAGTCATGGGAATGCGGCCTTTCATGTTCTTATCCTGCATGTTGCTACTACATACCAGGTGACCCTGCAGGTCCCCTTAGCACATGTTTCCAAGTCACCTCTCCAAGCACGGCAGCAAATGGCCGGCATGGTCAGGTTCCATCCCTCCAAATCCGAGATACCGGATGCCTTGCCCATGCACAGCACGCATGTAGTTACGTGTCCGTGTGCTTGAGTGACTGGAGCTCCTAGCCGAAACCTCACCGCCAATACCCCCACATTGTACCACTGCCCACCCTCTGCTTGAGTGACAGGATCCCCTAGAACAGGGGTAGGCAGCCTCGGCTCTCCAGCTGTGCTGAAACTACAAATCCCATAAGGCATTGCAAGCCACAGGCATGACTCCCAGAGGCAGAAGCATGATGGGATTTGTAGTTTCAGCACAGCTGGAGAGCCAAGGTTGCCTTCCTCTGCCCTAGAAGGAACTTCAGTGCCAATACCCTTTCTTCATGCCACTATCTGCTCCCTGCTTGATTGACAGGAGCCCCTGCAGAAGTCTCTCTTTATGCCACTGCCCACCCCCTGCATGACCAACAGGAGCCTCATCTCCAATACCCTGAGGTCATACCACTGCCCCCTCTCTGCATAAGTGACTGGAGCTCCTCGCAGGAGCCTCGGTGCCATTACCCCTACATCTGGGGATGTCCCGATACTAGTATCAGGGCCGATACCAGACATTTTCCCGAGTACTCATGAAAATGCCCCGATTCTTAAGGCCGATACCGGCCCTTTAAATGTTAAAAAAAAAAGCAGTGCCTGGCTGAGTTCCCGCGCTTGTGGGGACCTCGGCAGCCTGCTGGGGACCTGCAGATAGAGAACCGGACAGGCACTGCCATGGACAGCTATTTCCTCCCCGGTGCAGGCACAGCAATGGACAGCCCCGGGGGCGGAATTACTGTCCCAGGAAGTGAGGGACGATCTTAAAAAAAAGTGGTATCGGGACATCCCTACCTACATCCTACCACTGCCCCCTCTCTGCTTGAGTGACAGGAGCCCCTGCAGAAGTCTCGGTGCCATTACCATGACACTGCCCACCCCCTGCATGACCAACAGGAGTCACACTGCCAATACTCGTATGTCACAGCGGACCCCCCCTCCCCCGCATCACATGTAGAAGTGAGTGTGTAGGTGTACAGATCATACGGCGGC